AAAAAAAAAAACCAAAACAAAGTGAATTTATGTTTTCTTTCCATCTCTTTTGGAGGATTCCTGTATCATTTCTTTTTGCCCATAGAATCCCCTAGTATTTCAACTTGATGCTAGAAGTTTTTCTTCAGTACTTGCAGCTTGAAAAATGCCAAACATATTTCCCCCCTTTTTATTTATGGACATTTCATGATAACATTTCATTTTGTATTCTCAAGCTGCCTTCACCATTTCCCACCCCCGCCCCACCCCAGCTGCCTTTTAAAATTTTCTACTGCCTTATTTACAAAATTCAAATACATTGTTTGCAAGAACAAATTCTTTCAATTTCCCTCACCTCCCCCATCACATTGTACAACCCATGATTAATCCCCCCATTTCCCTGCACGTCCTCCTCCCTTTACTTCCAACCTCTCCCACCCCTCTTGAATCATTATACTCATTCTATAATAATGGTTTTATACAGTATTTGTCCTTGTGGGACTGAGTTAGGTCACTCAGCATAATGCTCTCCAGTCCCTCCCAAGTTAGGTGACAATTTACAAAGTTATTACTCCTGCGGGCTGCATAGTATTCCACTGTATGAATGTACCATAATTTCTCAATCCATTAGTTTGTGGTTGGACATTTGGGCTGTTTCCATGTTCTTGTGATGGTGAATAATGCTGCTATGAACATTGGTGTACAAACCTCCATTTGTGCCTCAGTTATCGTTTTCTCAGGGTATATTTCAAGTAGTGGAATAGCTTCGTCATATGGAATTTCTATGTTCAGCTTTTTGAGGAAGTGCCAAACTGCCTTCCAGAATGGTTGCACCATTTTAAAATCCCACCAACAATGTCTAAGAGTTCCTTTCTCACCATATCCTCTCCAACATTTATTACTTACTGCCCTGTTAAACTTTGCCACTGTTGCTGGAGTGAGATGGTACCTCATTGTGGTTTTGATTTGCATCTCCTTATTGCCAGTGATTTGGAGCATTTCTTCATGTGTCTGTTTGCCATTCAAATATCTTCCTCTGTGAAAATTCTTTCCATGTCTTTTGCCCATTTGAAATCAATTGTTCTGCTCTTCCCCCCACCCCCTTCCTCGTTGGACCGTTTTAATTTAGCATTTATGTTTAAAATTTGAAATCCATCACTTTTTGCCACTCCTCGCAACTCAGGGACGCAGGGCACACCCACTGGTCAGGGGAAAAGCAGTCCTCTGTCTTCATCATCAGAAAGGATACCCAGCTCTTCATCTGTCCACTGGGAAGGATCAGGATAAGGAAAGTGATCAAGCACCACTTCGGAGTCATGCCAGATCCGCCAGAGCATCCAGAACTGCATGTTCGCACTGGAGAACTTGGCCAGGACCACCTGCAACCTGGTCAGCTAGAGGGACTGGTCATAGGAGGGCTTGATGTGGACGCCACTGCTGGCATGACAGACTTCCATGCATCCAGCTGTCCACTTGCTGCAGCCTCAGGAGAGCTGGCTTCATTTGTGAATGAAAGGCACCAGCTGCCAACATGACAGCCTGGGTCCACACAGTGCTTTTTCTACTCTTTTAATTCAACATTTTTTCCATTTGCTTTTCTACTCCATGTTCCAGAACAAGTTTCAAAGTTTCTTCTAACATGCATTTTGGGTTTGTTTTTTTAAAATCCTGTTTTCTATCTTTTTTTTGTTTGTTTTCTATATTTTCAATATATTGTTCTAGTGACCTAGCTCTGGTGGCCTAACTGGTGAAGAATTTCACTGTCAACCCAGAGACATGCAGTTCAAATCCACCAATTGCTCTATAGGAGGCAGATGGGCAATCAATCTCCTGTGTGATTTCTGCCTCTGAAAGCCCATCAGAGGGTTCAGCCACAAGTCAGTTTTGACATGGTGGCAATGAGTAGAGTTTTTCTCTTTTTACTTTCCTCATCTGCAATGCTCTTGATGTCATCTCACAACTCATCTTGTCTTCAGTCATTAGTGTTCAGTGTGAGTGTGACAAATCTGTCCTCGAAACAGCCTCTAAATTCTGGTGGAATCTGTCCAAGGTTACATTTTGATTCTCTTGCACTTGTTCTCATTTTCTTCAGCTTCAATTTGAATATGAGCAATTGACGGTCTGATCCACAGTAAGTCTCTGGCCTTATTCTGGCTGATAACATTGCGTAAAATTGTTTCTCAGGGCTCCACAGAGCAAGGAATTTCAATAGTATGATGTCTGCTTTGAACATGTCACCCAAAGCTATCAGCCAAGAATGTGGAAGAGGCCTGGCGAGAGAGGCTTCCAGCTAAGTTCTTCAGCACCAGGGACCTTGTCAGCACGCTAAGGAAAGCTTCACCAGGATTGCTATACTCATTCATTTACATATCATGTGCCCATGCTATAGCAATAAGATGGCACAGCTGAGTGAGAGACAGAGGGGCCCACCAAGCCAAAAACATTTACAGTATCAGTCCCTTTACAGAAGGCCTTTGCAATCTCTAATTTAAATAAAAATGGGACGGTGAGCGGGCTGGAACGCACTAGCAATGCGCTATGTTGCTCTTAGTATTAGTTAAGTGTTCTTCCAAATAGAAGATACCAATTCTGCTAAAGGGAGAAAGCTGTGAAGGATGCACCATGGACTGACCCATGGGACTATAATGGCCCTGCCATTTCCTGGGTCCATTTGGTATCATTCTCCCTTTCCTCAGAAGGTAGTCCTCTCACTGGGCTCCCAAACCTTCTGAGACGGCACCACCCGTGCAGGGAGTGGGCAGCGCGAAACCTTCACTAGGGTACTTTGCTCTCACCAGCAGTTTGCGTTCTGGGCGAGGCTCGCTGTCTTCAGCAGGGAGTTCCCTGCAGGCAGTTGTGGGCCTAGTTTCTCCTCCATGTACAGCCTCTGTGTCCTCAGCTCCTTTGCAGCACCATGTCCTACCTCCACCGGACTGCAGCCTCCCAGGCGCCCCCGACCCGCGGCGATGCCCGCAGTATCCACTCTTCGGGCAAGAGCTTTGAGCAACTGCGCCAGGAATGCCTGAGCAGCGGTGTCCTGTTTGAGGACCACGACTTCCCGGCCAGCTGTGCCTCCCTCTTCTACAGCCAGAAGCCTGAGGTCCCTTTCGTGTGGAAACGACCAGGGGTGAGTGCAGCAAGGAGGGCACAGTGGTGGGAGGGGAGCTGAAAAAGACAGGAGGGGCCTGCACAAGATCCATCTGAGAACCCCTGAAAGGCTGCTTCACGGGTGCAAAGTGTTCACAGCAACTGGTGGAATGCTCCAGAGGGGTTTCTCTCCAACTGCACCCCCTCCTGGCCCTCAGCTCCCAGCTCCCACCACTGCTTTGACCTGGAATCAGAGAGGATATGGTCGGGAAGTGCACGATAGGCTCAAAGCTCTAGACACTTGACTCCATCCAAAAGGAAAATTCTCAGGAATTCACCCAAGTCCTCAGACACTGCCATCTAGTCATTCCGAAGCAGAGGGAGCCTAAAGGATGAAATCTAGCCGCCCCAGGGGTTTCTATACCCCATAGGGAGCTCTAGCGGCCTAGTGGGTAAGGAACTGGGCTGCTAACTCAAAGGCAATTCAAATCCACCAGCTGCTCCATGGTAGAAAATAGAGCAAAATCCTTCTGACAAACCGGCCTGAGGGTCAGCTATGAAATTATTCTGGCTTAGGGTTTCCAAGGCTGTAAATCTTTAAGGAAGGAGACTTCTTTATCTTTCACCTGTGGCGCTTTTGGTAGGTTGAACAACATTGTTGGCAGCATTGTGGTTCATTGCTGAAGGGCAGTATTGGGTCAGGGCACCACGACTATGGGATGATGCCGACATAACTTGGATGAAGTGTCTACAACTTCTGACTCTGAATTGTGGACCCTGCCTCCCACCCCACTCCCACCCCATCTGCAGTGAGAGCACCACTGGGTGCCCGATGAGGGAGGTGCAGGGAAGGGAATTACTTGCCTTTGGTGATGAAAGGAATTCATGGAAGGAACTGGCTCCACCTCCAGAAATAAAAGAGGTTGGGTTCCAGGAGGCACCAGCTGGTGCCTGGGACAAAATGTCAATATTTGCTGTGCTGGGCTCATCTGGCCCTCCCTATGACCTGCCTTTGTGATCCACTCCGTTTGGGTGGTGCTAGCATAGGGGGTCACTTAGGGGACAGGTGGTTCATGGGCAAGGGTGGCATAGGAGTGTTGGCTAGGCTCTGAGTGCTGGCCACCCCACCACTAATTCATTACGTCACTATGGCCACATCACTTACCTCCTGGAAGGTGACTATGGGATTTTGGATGACTGTGGTAAGCCCAAAGTATGGCACACAAAAGGTGTTCAGTGAATGTCTGTTGCCACTGTCATTACTGTTATTGTCACCATTGTCATCATCAGGGAGCTCTGGTGGCTTCATGGTAAAGCGTTAACACGTGGTTAGGAGTCAACCCAAAGTCTTACAGTTCGAATCCATCAGCTGCTCTGCGGAAGGATGGGCAATCTTCGATGTGATGTAATGCCTCTGGAAACCCGTTGGAGGCTTGGCTATGAGTTGGTTCCAACTCCACAGCACATAACAATGACAACTACATTGTAATCATCATCTCTGAATCCCGTCTCGTTTATAAGTCAGGTCTACAGAATGCAATCCTACCAACTCCTATCTCCCCGCTTGAAATTCCTTGTGGTGGTTATATAAAAAACATATGCTTTGGAAAAAAAACCTCAGAAAAAACAAAACAATTTTTTTGGCTCTTCAAGGTGGCCTAGTGGTAAGACGCTGGGCTGCCAACCCAAAGATCCACAGTTCAGATCCACCAGCTGCTACACAGAAGAAAGACAGGCAGTTTCCTCCTGTGTGATTTATTTCCTCTGAAAACCCACTAGAGGGTCAACCCTGAATTGGTTCCAAGTCAACAGCACATAACAACAGAAAGCTTTTCACTGCTATTTGCAATAGCAGTCTATGTGTAGTGTATGGTGAGTAGTATGTGTGAGTGTGTAATTGTACATGGTGTACGTGTGAATGTGTGTGTGTGTGTGTGTGTGTGTGTGTGTGTGTGTGTGTGTCTGAAAGCATGTATGGAGTGTGTGTATATGTGCATGTGTGGATGAATGCCTCTGAGTATCTGTGAGTGGGTGTAGTGTCTAAGTATGTGTGTGTGATGTAAATGTGAACAGATTGGTATATATGTTTGTTTGTGTATGTGCGTGCGTGTAAACCTAAAAAGAAATCAAACCTCACCTATTCACTTGGGAAGAAGGAAAACGCAGCTGGCTATCAGATTTACTGGCATACAGCCCAGATCAAATGGGAAAAGAATGCACACTTCACAATTTAAGGGTCTGTGTCCCTCATCTGCAGCCCTACTTCCCAACTTGACATTTCCTGGCCTTCTTTCTTCCCTCTCACTTTCAGCTTATACTTTCACCTTTGCTTCTGCTGCTTCTCTAAACTCAGTTACTCCATACTTCTCACCCTAAACCCAGCACAGTTGCTCAGCCAAGTGTCCACATCTTCCCAGTTCTGAAAGACATCCCTGTAGCACTGTGGTCCACACTGGATCGCACACCTGTACTTGCCCTGCAAAATGTGCTTAACCCTCCCAGAGCATTCTCTCCAGAACCAGGAAGTTCCGAGGACAGGACCTGAGTCCTGACTTGTGAGCCTCTAGAACTCATCCACTCAGAGCTATTGTTGATCACCACTCAGCTTCTCCAAGCCCTACTTATAAAACCACCAGGGAGGGTTCCAATCTCTCCACAACCATGCCAGCATTTCCTGTTTGCTGCTCTGTTGAACTTTGCTGTTGTTACTGGGGTCAGATGATTTCTCATGGTTGTTTTTATTTGTATCTCTCTGATAGTTAGGGATTTTGAACATCTGTTCAGGTGTTTGTTTGCTATATGAATGTCTTCTTTAGTAAAGTGTCTATTCATATCCTGTGCCCATTTTGTGATTGGGCTGTTTACCATTTTCTTGTTGAGGTGCTTGAATATTCTATAAATTTCAGGTAAGAGTCTCTTATAAGATATAACATTATCAAATATTTTTTCCAGTCTGTGGCTTTGCTTTTTACCCTATTGATTTTTTTTAATGTGCACAGTTATTTGATTCTCAAAAGGTCCCATGCATTTATTTTGTTCTCTCCTGGTTATAGGTTTTTCATTATACTTGGAAGACTGTTCATACTGTGTTTTAGAGCTTCTAGAGTCTTCTCAGTTTTTCTCTAATAAAGTTTATAGTCTTTGGTTTTAACAAATTCCTTGCTCCGCCTTGAGTTGGGTTTTGTGCACAGTGTGAGGTGTGGGTCTTGCTTGAGTTTTCTACATATGGTTTCCCAACACCATTTGTTTAAAAGACTGCCATTTCCCCACTCGCCTGATTTCATCTCCTTGTCAAAAATCAGTTGAGCATAATGAAGAGATTGGAATTCTTCTTCATTGCTGGTGGGAGTGTAAAATGATACAACCTCTATGGCAGGCAGTTTGGTAGGTTTTTTTTAAAAAAGGAAATTTAAAAAATTCATTTGCCCAGCAGTACTTCTACTGGGAACATACCCTAAACAAACCATAACAGTGTCCAAACAGATATGTTCACACCCATTTTTGTTGCTGTGTTGTTTATAATAGCAAATAGATGCAAGCAACCCAACTGCCCATCAACAAAGGATTGAATAGAAAAACTATGTTATATTCACACAATGGAATACTACACAGCACTGAAGAACAGTACATGGCTGACCCTACAGGACATTATGCTAAGTGAAATATTTCAGTTACAAAAGGACAAATACCGCCTAGCACCCCTGTTATAAAAGAGGTCTGACATGAGGGTTTGGGAAGACAATAGTATAAGAGTGGATAAATAATGAACATTTCACTGAAAAAGATGAAGACAAGAACTGTCTAAAAGGAATATATGATTAGGAATTATATGTATGACAACAGCCCAGAATAAGAGGTACATTACAAAGAGTAATACTGGGAGTGAGGTAATTATGCAACAGTGAATGAATACTTTAAAAACAAAACAAAACAAAACCTGTGAGCCCCTCAGGAACCTCCAGACCCGCTGGAACCACCAGCCCCACTGTAACTTCCACACCACTGGGTGTGAGCCATGCCGGCCACAAGCTCTGCCAGATGCAAGTCCCACTGCACAAGCTAGATAGCTGTAATCTGACTGAGGTCCCCACACATGCCCACCTGGACAGCTAGCCCCACCAGGCACAAGCCTGACAGCTGCAATCTGAGTGGAGTCCTGTGCATGCCCACCTGGACAGCTAGCCCCACCAGACATGAGCCTGAAAGCTGCAGTCTGAGTGATGTCCCGCGCATGTCCAACTGGACAACTAGGAACTGAGTGAGGTCCCCACACATGCCTGCCCAATGAGCATCTGCATACATGCCAGCCCAGAACATACCTGTGTGCATGCCTGCCCCTCCTGTGCCCACCCTACACTCAGCCTCGCATCTCCTCATGTCCTGTCAAAGAACTGCCTTTAATCCAGAACACGTTGGTCTGACTTAGCTGCAACAATTATCTGACAGAAGAGGCCACTTTCACAAGCCCTGAGCTGAAACTTCTCTTGGTTCAGAAGTTCAGAGAGAAACACAGGCAGCGTAACTGCCACACCCTCTTCTGTAGCAGTGACTTCAGATCAAAAACAGATCACTGCCTCAGGCATGAAAAACTCTACAGCAACAATGTCATGTAAGAAGCAGGCTACTCTACAGCCTACACAAGCACAAAGCAAGATGTCACCCACAAAAAAGTGCCACAGTATTAGTGGATTTCCTGAAGCCAGAAAGTCTGATGGAAATTTCTGACACAAAATTTATTTTTTT